TTGACTAGAATTTTACTCGGTAAGGCAAGCAAAAACGTTGAGTTTTACGGATAAGTGGTTACCGAATAAGTATTTGAGTAAACAACCCCTAAATACAAGGAGTTATTTGCTTTTTATATTTATATATATTCACCATCTATCTAAAACCACATGTTCTTTGAGGTGCCTGATGGGAGGTTAGCGGTGGTGACCATTAAAACAAATATCATATTAGGGTTATATATCAAAAGATTGTAAATTAATAATATTTTATTTTTGTATCATCTTCATCTGGAACAAAAAAAAACTTTTTTTGTCCCACGTCCTTGTCTCATGTTGTATCAAACATAAAACAATAAGTTTTTGTCATGTCTCATGTTACACTAAACGTGGGACATTGAATTTTATCCCATCATATACTGTCTTGTCTCATGTTCCAAAGACAGTCTAACTTGTTAATTATATTTTATGAATATTATTATTAATTTTATTATTAATAATAATTAGAAAAAATGTCATTATTAAATTTTTTTAGTTTTCTGTGATAAATTAATGTCACGAGTCACCCCTCTCATGTTTCTGGCATGTGGTTGTATCTTTAAAAATTAAAATAGCCATACCAAATTATCCACATATCATTAATTCAATTTTAATTTTTTTTCCCTAAAAATAAATACTTTATTTTCTTTTAATAAAATTAATAATAATATTCATAAAATATAATTATTTGAAAATATTTTCTTTTATCACGAGTAAAGCCCCTGTCTTTATACGAAAAACGGCAATTACTAAAAATATTCAGTGGTAAGGGAGGGTCCACAAAAAGAGGATCGGAGGGTCTAAGAAAGAGGATGAGAACTTACTGTGTTTTCCGATTGTTCGAGATCATTAAAGGACTTAAGATGACGTTTTTATTTTTTTTAAATTTAAATTAATATTAATGTAGATTTACTTTCTTTATTTATGGTCTATATTTAGTTAGGTTCTATCTTCCTAACTACCGTTATCTAGTATTGGGCTATAAATCTTCCGTTTTGTCTACGCTAATTTTCAAGTTGTGATATTGAAGTTAAGAAACATTCCCAAATCAGGTTCTCGAGTGTTCTTGATCCGTTTATGAGTTTCATAATTCAATCAGATTCATCTATCGTCTGGTAAAAGAATCATAAATACTTAAAGAAACCCGTTTCTAGAGACTTTTCTTAACTTCAGTATCAAAACTTGAAAATAAATCCAGACAAATAAAACCTTTATAGCCTAATAATAGATGGCTCTAACAAGAAAAATAAATCCTAACTAAAGATAGACCCTAAACATAGAAAACAAATATCCATTTTAAAATAACGATATAAATCTAAAAATATTTATTTAAACTCGAAAATAAAAAAAATGTCATCTTGAATCCTTTAACGATCCCGAAGAACCAAAAAGTACCTTAAGTTCTCATTATCATCAAAATCATTGATAATGTCACCAATTCTTTAGGTCTCGTTTGGCTTGCAGGAATGAAATGAATGTGGGAGAATTTAGATTTCAAATCAATTTCAATCCTATGTTTGGTTTGTTGGATTGTCCGGATTTGAAATTCTAGGATTTAATTGAAATCCTATAACATAGAATTTTGAAATCTTTAGGAGGTGTTTGAGATTTCGTAGGGTTGTATGCTAAAAACGTTTGTTTTGTAATAATCAAATAATAAAAATATAATTTACTTATTTTTATAAATAATGGAATCCAATTTCATTCCAAATCCTACAAAGCAAACACACCAATGATATTAATTCCATTCCAAATCCCTCCATAAAGTCTAAATCCTTAAGGGTGTGTTTGGTACACTGGACAGGGACAAGACAGAACAGGACAGGGATCCTTGTCCCATGTTTAGCATGAATTTTATTTAGAACATACAGAAACAGAGTGGAACAAAGTGGAACAGACCTGTTCCACCCCCACCCCATGGAACAGGGTGGAACAAGGTGGAACAGACTTATATTTTACCAATATAACCTCAAAATAAAACTTAATTCTCTTCTAAAACATCAAATAGATCTCTCTTTTACATTTTATTCATTCTTTAAATTTTATTTATTGTATTTTATGTTTTTTAAACTTTCATTTTACTGTCCTCAAAATATTATTTTTATACGGTTTCTATATCTTTATTAATTTATGTAATTTATTATATATTAATTATAAAAAAATAATGTAGAAAAAAGATAAAAATAAAAATAGAAAACCACAAACTTTTTATTTGGTGTCATTTTAATTGTTTTGACGAAAACTTCAAATGATATATTTTGTTATAAAAAATAAATATTCTATTATAGTTTAATAAATTACATAAATTGTTTTCTTGATTTTATCACCGTCAAACGTATTGCGTAAGATTCACGCATGCAATTTGTTGTTTTCGATGAGTTTTGTATGTTTTCCCTTGATCAGAGTAGTAAATATTCGATTTTGATCTTACAGGAATGATTGTATAGGTGATAGGTGAATTCTTTTGTTTTTTAGAAACCAAGTTTTGTGAATGTGATGATACTATATGAGATCACTAGCCAAATTGTTTTCTTGATGCTTATATTTTATTTACTAATTGATATTTAATCCATTTTAATTGATTGTGCGCTTGTTGGTAGTAATTTTTTCTTCTTAGTATGGAATGCATATAGATTTGCTTCGATAATGAATCCTTGATGCTTATATTAGTTGATTATGAAATCATATATTTTTGCAAATGTATTTTGCAAGTAGTAGTGGTTTGATGTAACTTATACTTTGCACACCGTATTTGTTAACATTTATATTAATTATTTAGTGAAAAAAACACTAAACAGCTCACTAGGGATAAATTGGTCATTTTAATCAGTTCTGTCATGTCTTATCAAGCACTGAACAGCTGTCATGTCATGTATTGTTCCCTTCTATCCTGTTTGCATACCAAACGCACCCTAAAAAACAATCATACAAACCAAACAAACTCTAAAATATTTCATTTTTAACATCATAAGATTTCAAAAAAATAAATGAAATTTGGTTTTGCAGGTAACTCAAACCGACCTCACTAATTTGCACGATAAACCTATTTTAACACGTTAAGTATATCTATTAATTAGATATATATAATTTAAAAAATATATATATAAATGAGGTTCATAAATAAATGACAACGTGCAAGACTAACTTTAAAAAGTCTAAATGTTGTTGGCGTACAAATTTAAGGAAAATCCATAAATTATAATATATATATATATATATATTAAATAAAAATAATATATTAAATAATTTGTGAACGAGTTCGAATCTTTCTCGAGTCGAACTCAGATGCAGAACGATAAAACCCGTTAGTAATCAGATAACCGTTTTAGTCTGAATTTAGTTTAACACAATGAAGTTTAAATAACCAAAAATCCTAAAATGTTATATGTCATTTATATTGTTATCTCTAACTTATGAGTTACTATTTCCTGAATTTGATTCGTTTTTCAAACAATAAAAGCATTTCCAACACATGTGATTTCAAAATTACTGATAACATCCAAGAACATCTCCAACAACTATGCTATCAATTTTTTAAAATAGAGTATCAAAAGTCAAAAATTTTAAAAAAATTACATTCAACTCTAACAATTACTCTATTTTAGAGATTGTATGTATTTAGCACATCAGTTTGACAGAAATAACTTATAAATCTCCAACAACCATACTAATTTTAATATCTAACATTTTTTTGCTCCAACAATTATGCTAAAATAGAGAAAAGAATATAGGGGAAGTCGAAGAAATCTCTAAAACTCTATATAACTGAAAATAGATATTTATGGAAGAGAATTAATATATTTTTTAAATGTATTAAATATTTTAGTGATATAATTGATGCTGGAATTAATAAAATAGAATAGTTGTTGGAGTTGAACGTAATTTTTTTTAGAGATTTTGACTTTTAATACTCTATTTTAAAAGATATTATAAATAGTTGTTTGAGGGGGGGGATCTTTTTTTTTAATTTGTAAGATCTTTGGGAACCAATGAAACATATGTTATTTCATATGATTTTTTTCATCTATAGTTTTAATTTAATGTATTGATTAATATATACTTGTTTCACATGTACTCGGTTCATAATGTGATATTTTTTTGATATGTTTGTGAAACAGAAAACACATGTAAAAAGTTTCATATTGTAAACAATCACATTATGAAACAAATATATGTTAATTAACATATCAAAAACTATAGTTAAATAGGGAAAAAAATCATGTAAACAAAACCTTAAGGTAAAAATTCTCACAAATCTCATTAATTGTGAAACTCTCAAATAATTATTTGAACCTAATAAAAGGGAAATTAATAGAAAAATGCTTTGTGGAAGCGTCAAAATGTATAAAAAAGAGGTTTTTTTAACTAGGTTCATAAGTGTAGGAACGAAATCTGTAAATTAGATAAAAGTTAGCAAGTGGCACTTTCGTCACTTGCAAATTATGGGGACTAATTTACATATTTGGTCTTTGCACTTGCAGACGTGGCCATAAACTTCTTTTATGCTTTGATCATTTCATAAGTTGAGGAGTTGATATTTGTAGAGGTAACGATATTTTTAAAAAATTGAGAAAAAAATGTCTAAGATATGAAGAGAGAAATGTCGAAGAGGTTGTTTGTTTACCTCTTAATAGTTTTATTAAGAGACAGTCTCTGAATCGTTAAGAGATGAATATTGTATGACAAAAAATAAGTCTGCTTCTTAATGATTCTAAGACTCTTTGAATGATTTTGTATCATGAGTCTCCTTTAACCATTCGTCGCTTTAATTTCATTGTAAATAATTTTCAAACAATTATATTTTATTTTATATTATATTATAAAAAACTCTTAATCATTATAACCACTTAATTATTCTACGTTAACCATTCAATAATTACCAATTCAATTAATTTTCGTGAAATCAAATAAAGAAAGAGGTGGGACCAACAGATTGGTGAGCGATCTCTATAAAATAAAGGACGAAAAATGGTGATAAAGATACAGGCGGACACGCACGTGGTGGCTTTGCGTCTGTCGCCAAAGTCAATTACCATTCTTGACTCTTCTACTTAACACTTGTACAACCCTCCAAGCCTTTCGTACTACTTTTATCATGTCGACGACGGAGGACACGAACGGAATCCGGCCACCGTCGGAACCGATATCTGAACCAACACACGCTCAGTTCACCGGAAAAAAAGAGCCGTTCATTCATTCCTTACTTGCAATGATAGTTTGGCTTGGCTCTGTACACCTCATCGCTTTTATCATTCTCGCTTCCTTCTTCTTCCTCTCTCTTCACAAATTCTTCCTGTAAGTAGTTAGTTAAATCAATGGTTCTTCACGAATTTGCTGCTAAGATATGAGAAACACGATTTGTTTCTTTTTTTCCGTATTTGATTTGTGAATTCTTTGTTTTACAGGGTGTTGGGAATGCTTGTGATCTTAGTTGTGATTCCGATTAACGATCGAAGTAGATCGGGGAGAACTTTAGGCAGGTTGATACTATTGTTTTGTAGATTGCAGTATGATAATACAGATACATTTTCACATTGTTTTATACAGCCCTAGTGGATAGATCTTTTCCCCCTTGAATGGCCTAAATGATCATTGTTTGAAGTTTTCTCTCTCAATTTCAGGTTTATATGCAAGCATGCTGTCGGTTATTTTCCTGTTACTCTATATGTAGAGGATTATAAAGCCTTCAATCCTGATCAGGCTTATGGTAATTGAGTTCATTATGTTCTTAATTTCGGTATATTTTTTGAATTCTTGTTTGAGTTTGCAGCTTATATAGCCAATATATACCTTAGAATTTTGTGGTATAGTTGTATTTTTTCTCTTTGGTTGAGAATTGATATGAATTCATGTGATTTTGGAGATGAGATGGTAAGTAATTGTGAACTTTATAAAGTCATTTTTATATATCCGGTGCTTCTAAAACGTGACATTTATATCAACTGGCACTTTGGAAATCAGTTGATCCTTTTTGAATGTACAGTTTATGATACTTCCGTATCTCGAAGATGGATTATAACATCTAAAGTAGTATATGTTTATAACATCTGAAATTCTTCCATCCTCTCCAAATTCTCTTGATTGGTCTTTGCCATGGTTTATAAACCAAAACTCGAGCCTGATGGGGTTTCTTTATATTTGGAAACAGGAACAAGTGTGATACTATCATGTATAGAATGTAAAGGTCATACCTTGTGTGTGTCTAGTGACACAAGATAGACTCTTTGTATGGCAAAAATCAACGTCAGGTATAAAGAAATACTTTTGGGTGTTGATAGATGATGCTAGGCAATGTGTCAGCTAATGTAAGTTGGAGATATGGAGAAACACCTTGGGATATAAAATTATTTTGCTAATCCACAAAAAACGGAATATTAGGAGTTCAACTTTATTGGTGTTGATAAACAACAAGAAGATGCAGTAAGCATGCTCGAACGACAAATAAGTAGGAGTATATCATTTGTTAGTTTGGAATAAGTGCTGCAATAGAAAGATCTGAGAGATTGATGGTGATACTTGTCATAGAGTAAAAGCATAGAGGTTGCACTAAACCTGAGGAGTCTTATGTGATTGAAAATCTCCACTGAAACTAATAGCAGTTTGCCCTGCTATGATTCATGAAACAGAATGTTAGCCACTAAAGATAACAATACTTGCAAGATGAATGTTGTGAAAATGCCATGGATTTTTCAAAGTTACCGACACCAAACTTGTTTGAATTATTTCACCTAAATTCTTAGAGTTCTAAAAGTAAAAGGAAAATTATGAACACAAGGAGACAATATTTCACAAGAAGAATGTGTGCCTTAGTCAGGATAATGATAGAATGCTGTTGTACTCTGGCTTGCTTTAAGGGTATTATTTCCATGTCTTGAGAAAAAGAAGGTAATAAAGACATTGCGTAGTTTAGGATCTGTGTATTATTTGCATTTCTTGATATATTTTGTTTTCCTAGTTTTCTTGTAGGGTATGATAAATCATGCTAGATTTAGACAACATGGCATGTTGTCATAGTGTAGCAGATCTATTGATAAAGGGCATCCATGGCCATAATGAGCTATTAGAATAAAATTTGTAGGTTGATCATACCATGATGCTGATAGCCTTCAAGATCTTGAGCATGGCTCTTAAACAAGAAAAAAGGTGTGAATTGCAAAGGTGCAATGTATTCAATTGAATATCGGTTTGTTTGGGGCTTTTGTTATGTTTTTTTCTTTTCTTGAAAGCTTTATGTAACTTCATTAAACTAAAACTCACCCTGTCCCAAAAAATGCAGCGTTTGACCTGACACATTGTTTAATGGAACTGCTTGAATAATTATTGAATTGTCTAAAATGCCCTTAACAAGGACAAAACAAAGAAAATTATGGATCACATTCAAAGTTGCTAACTACTAAGTGGTGAAAAAGTAAAGTAAGTGTTAGAACTTCCCAAAAAGAAAGATGTATGATGTTTGGTTTGTGAAAAGTAAGCTATGCATTGTAGTAATATAACTAATGATCGATGCAGTTTTTGGGTATGAGCCCCATTCAGTTTGGCCAATTGGAGTTGTGGCACTGGCAGATCTCACGGGTTTTATGCCACTTACCAAAATAAAAGTCCTTGCCAGTACTGCTGTAAGATTTGTTTCCCTTGATGGTTTAAGAGTTCCAAATATTTAGACGTTGCTCTGCTGTCATATCTTATATATCAGAATTAACAATGATACAGGTGTTTTATACACCGTTCCTGAGGCATATATGGACATGGCTTGGACTAACAGCAGCAACAAGGAAAAACTTCTCATCTCTTTTGAAAGCTGGTTATAGCTGCATAATTGTACCCGGTGGAGTGCAGGAAACATTTTACATGGAACATGATTCCGAGGTGAAATTCTCATGACATTCATTTCCCTTCCCTTCCCCTACTTTTTTCTTTTTCTGTTGATTACTATTTACTAGTCTTAGTTCTTCTTACCTTTTCAACCACATTTTTTCATAAGTTAGACTTCTTAACGGAAACAGTTGCTCTACCCGTTGGGACAGAGGACAAGTCTACGTACATCCCACATCCCCCCACCCCTAGACCCTACTTTCAAGTGGGATATTTAGTACACCTGGGCGTTTTGATAGAATGTACGAGTGCCAAGCTCAAGGGGATGTGGGGTGATATGTGAGACTTTGAAGGGCTTAGCAGTTAATATTAATTAGTCCCATATGGAATATTACCTTTTTTTGTTAGCTTGTTAACCTGAACTTACTTACTTTCCCATTGTCATCATTACCCAAGATTGCTTATCACTGATGTGGGTTCATAAAATTCTTTATTTTATCATTACCAGTGGGTAGTAAAGAAGTTTGGCTAATAGTTAAATGTTTTCTGAAACGGTGTTTGGTCAAACTTCACAAGTTTCATGTATGGAAAAGGATTGTACTTTCTTACGCATGGGTTAATTAACATTGGAGATATCTAACGTATTATGTTTCACGCAATTGTGACTTTGTGTCGATATCAATATCTTGTTTTTTTTTATATGGTGTGTTAAGTGAACTTTGAGATCGTCTAACATTATAATATCTATAGATTGCCTTTCTGGAAACAAGGAAAGGATTTGTACGCATTGCAATGGAGACTAATAGCCCCTTGGTTCCAGTTTTTGGCTTTGGTCAGGTATAATTCTTCCGTGATTGCATATTAAAGCATCCACAATGGTACACTTAATATTTGAGCTTTTTCACACAAAAAAAAGTGGGACCCACAAGCTTAGGTGGCCAAGCAAAACAAGTCTTTTGAGAGCTTGTGTCGTTACAAGCATAACGTTTTCTTTTCATTGTAAGGTTTTTCACTTATCTTATGTGGCCAAAAAGCTCTCTGATAACTCTTCGAAGAACCCCATTGTGGATGCTCTTAGGTTTATTGTTATCTTCAATAGGTGTTTGTATGCACTTCCTTTCTCGTTCATCGGCTTGTTTTTGTTGACAATATGATTGAAGCAAATGTCTTGTATCCTGCAGTCCTATGTTTACAAATGGTGGAAGCCACGTGGGAAATTGTTCCTGAAATTTTCTCGGGCTATAAAGTTCACCCCGGTTATTTTCTGGGGTATCTTAGGGTATGTTCAGTTCATATCATTTTACTCTTCAAGACAAATACAATATACCCCACTTGAAAGTAGGGTATGGGGTGGGGTGGGATGGGATGTACGTAGACCTGCTATCTATGGACAAATACTGTGTTTCCCCTCAAAAGTAGGGTCTGGGTTAAGATGTGCGCAGAGCTAATCTCTACTGATAAGCACTCGAAAGTAGGGTCTAGAGGTAAGATGTACGTAGACCTGACATGTGAAGAACCCTAATGATTTTACTCTTTGATATGTTCGGATAACACATAACGGTCATATTAATTGGTTATCTTGTTTCAGGTCTCCTTTACCCTACCATCAACCGATGCATGTGGTCGTTGGTAGACCGATACATTTCAAAAAAAATCTGAAGCCTACTGTAGAAGAGGTATTTGGATGCTTCTTTATCCTTATTACGTGTCATGCTTTTAGATGGTGATAAGATTAGTGGTGTGCAGAAAATCATCTAATTCGGTTAGAACCAACCGACCGGAATTGGATATCCAATTGCTATTGAATCAGATCCAAAATTTAAACATCCAAATTGGATGGTCGGTTCTTGGATGGCAGACCAGAATTCAATAAATTCGAACTGATCTAATCCAATAATCATCCAATTAACAAATGTATATAATCAATAGTTTTTTACAGTATTTCTTAATATTATAATTTTGAATACTGTTAAAGCATAAAGAAAACTTAAAATAGAAAATAACAGAGCCTTGAATATATAGGATTATTGGTTGGATATTTGAGCAAAATGTTGGACGGATTCCAATCCGAACTAATAGATAACCATAGAACCGATCAGATCCGATCCAATCATCCATTGGATTTGATCGGTTGTCCACGGTTAATTGGATTTGATCGGTTGTCCACAGTTAATTGGATTGGACCGGTCGGCAAATACCAACATTCAATGATTGATTGGATTGGATTGGATTGGGTCCTTCCGAATCCAATGATTGCAACCAATGAACACCTCTAGGGTGTATGGTGCATTTGAGCCAAGGCGAGCCTGAACTTGCTTGGATCGAACTCGAGCTCAACTCAAGCATTGTCATTGTCTTTTACGTTCAAATAGACTTTTTCGTCTTGGCTAATTAGGCTTGTTGAGCTGCTAAGCTGAAGCCTTACGTTGCTCAAGTTCGGGTTCGACACCTTGGTCGGGTTTGCGCACTTTTCTTCCTTTTTTTATGAGATGGCTCGTCTTGCCTCAAATCCTCACTTAGAAACGGTACCTATGCTGACGAGCATTAAAGATGAAAACTTTGTGATTATGATCCAATTTGGGAAATGAATAGGGTATCACAAAAATGGGTTACTTAGGAGAATAACCTTCTTAAAAAAAATTAACATATGACTTACAGATTTTGAGGAAAAATGGGTTATTTAGGAGAATAACCTTCTTACAGTTTTTATAACGGATGACCTACTTATAGATTTTGAGGCGTTAAGTAGAGGTGATCATAGATCTCTCAAACGGTCATGCATTTAAAGGAAATTGTCATAAGGTTATTATCCATATTTTTTAGCGAAGGACGGTCTGACAGACTTAGTGGTCGTTTACCAAACTCTTACCCGGTAAGCACTTACCAAATGTCACTTACCTTACGGGTAAGCATGGTAAGGACCGAGAAACTTACCTGGTGAGAGACAAAGCAAGGACCAAGAATCTCACTGAGCAAGTGATGGAGAAGACTCTTAGCTGGTAAGTGCTTACCGGGTAAAAAACACTTACTATAATCCATTTTGATAGCCGAGAATGTTATCCGACAAGGTAAGTGATATAAAATTTTATAATTTATGAATAAAATATGATTAGGATAAAGTACAATATTATAAAGATAATAAAGCCTTTGTTACGTTTCCACATCAAAGTAAAATATAGTACTTAGTTCTTTTTTCTTTCATTTAATGCCTATTGGTATTCCAAAAGTACCCAAGGGTCGGTATGCATTTGGTAAACAACCCCTAAGTCTTAGATCTATCTAAAAAGGTCATGCATTTAAAAGAAATTGTTAGAAGGTTATTATCCCCTTTTTTTTTAAGTATGGCCTTCTGACAATTTCGAGGCATAAGTAGAGGCATTATTAAACCTGTGAAAAGGTCATAATGCATTTACAAGAAATTGTAAGAAGACTATTATCCATTTTTAGCGTATGACCTTCTAACAGATTTTGAGGCATATACGAATGAAACCTTATTTGCTTTTGAATCTCATTACGGAATCTTCTTTCAGGTTTCGGAAGTACACAGGCAGTACGTTGAAGCAGTTAAAGATCTATTCGAGAGGCATAAAACGAAAGCCGGATATCCTGATCTTCAGTTAAGAATCATTTGAGTCTCCATCCTATTGCTGCAGTTCTACATTCACACAGTTAGGTCACTGGTTGCAACAAGTCTCTAAGGAAACCGAAAAATTGCTAGAAATGCCTCGGGAAACACAAAATACATGCATGTATCCGTAGATCACGTTGTACAAACTTAGAAGATCTGTTGTTACTTTGTCGATTTGCTATGGCAGACGATATGTAAAAATTTGTACACTTGGTTATGTTTTCGGTTATTTGGAACTTCACTTATTACAGATTTGTTCTCAACTGGTGTTAAACCGAATGAACTAAATAACTACAACCCAACCACACAAATTAGAGTTGAGTTATCGAACCGGTCTGAAAAAACTTGGACCGGTGCGGATTTGATAAGGTAAAAGACAAAACCTGGACTGGCGGTCTGATATGGTCTTGGCCGATCCAGGTTGAAAAAGGCTGGTCCTGGTCCGGTCTGATTTGGACTTTTGGTCTTGTCTGTTTAAAAAAAAAAAGAAATTTGCGAATTGAAAAAAAGAAGAAAATTAAAAAATCTGGACCGGTCTTTATCTAGTCCTGAAAAAAGGTCATTATTCGTCCGGTCCGGTGTGACTCAAAATAATTTGGGCTGAAAAGGGCCTTGTATGGTTTGGAGTTTTGGACTGATACCGTTACGGATCAGTCTTTATCTGTTTGGTTAGGTCGTTCCAGTTTGTTGAGTCTGCTCCAGAAGCCCATCTTTAGACACAACTAAATATGTGCTTGCAAAAACAACCCAAAGACGGACATTACTTGATCCTGGGCCTTTTTAGGTGGATGTTTGGATTTGATCGGTTGGCTAACTCCATGGATAATTGAATCAGATAGGTTCAATTTAAATTTATTGGATTTCAACCGATGAACAGGTTTACCTGAAATCGTGAAACCTATAGGGTACAATGGATTTCGTACAAAAAGTAAGGGGCCGTTTACCAAACGCTTACCCAGGTAAGCGCTAACCAAGTCACATTACTTTACCGGATGAATATGGTGAAGACCAAGAATCTTACCCGGTAAGAGGGAGACAAGGACCGAGAGTCTTACCCGGTAAGTGAGGTTGACGACTCTTACCATGGTAAGCGCTTAGTGAGTAAATTGTTGCATACAATGTCGTTTTGGTGGACAACAGTCCCCAGTAAGTAAATGTTAGTGTTAAATTTTACCGGTAAGCACTTACAAGGTAAGTGTTTGGTAAACGACCCCTAAATGATATTATAAGATAAAAGTTGAATTTATGGACATGAATTGATTACAACGTCTAATGGATGTTGTTCAGTTTACTTGAATCACTTAGGGGCCGTTTACCAAACGTTTATCCGGATAAGCGCTTACCAAGTAACATTACCTCACCGGATGAATATAGTACGAACTAAGAATCTTACCCGGTAAGAGCGAAACAAGGACCAAGAGTCTTACCCGGTAAGCAAGGGCGATGACTTTTACCACGGTAAGCGCTTACCGGGTAAATTGTTGTATACTATGTCGTTTTGGTGGACTAAAATCTTATCTGGTAAGTACATAATAGTGTCAAATTTTACCGGTAAGCACTTAGCGGGTAATTGTTTAATAAACGACCCCTTAATACTGATAATCATATGATGATACTAGAAGGAATCAAAACGACATAAGCAAGATCTAGTCCATCTCTCACAAGAAGGTTGAGTGATACGGAACAGGATCAAGCATATATTTCGATACCTTCGAGAAGGTAACACACTTTGCATCACAAAAACGAAAGGAAAACGGAATTAGTACAGAATCAAGCACTTATTCCGATACCTTAAAGAAGATTAAACGGCAAACGGATTGTGTCACACAACTGAATGAAAAAAGGACACCGGTATAGGATCAAGCATATATTCCGATTGCTTTGAGAAGATAACAAACATCGTGTCACCACTCACCCAGATGAAAGAAAAAGACATTGGAACATGATCAATCACGTATTCGATACCTTCGAGAACATAGCGATTGTTACGTCACACAAATGAAATAATTATATATCAAGAGTTACAAGACAAAACATGTAGCTCCAAGATTCTTTTCACACTTTAACATCTTACAGAGCATAATCAGATTGAAATGGAATATATTCAATCCGGTAACAATACAACAAACCTTTTCTTGAAGGCACTTCTACTGCAATTTTCAGAAAATACGTTCATAACATCGGAATACGACATGTATGCTGCCGAACATTTATAATGGTTTATGGATGTCAACACGAGGAGTCAATTACGCGCTACACTCTTTTCCTTTGGCTAAAGTTTTTTTCTCCACTGGGTTTCCTTTAACAAGATTTTATGGAGACATTACTTCAAACTTGAACTCTGATTCTGAAACTGTCATCTAATGGAGATTGAAGATGTTATTAATGATTGAGGGTCACAAATGGATGAACACATTTTCAACATTGTGTCAAATCCACACACCAAAGCTTGGCTGCTACTTAATCATTCAGGGTAAAGATTTGTAATACGGAAACAGAATAAAATAGTTTTGGTTCCAAAAATGGCTAAAAAGTGAAATCGAATGGCTATTTTTGTCGATTTCCATTAAGCCCAATAATTCATACACAAATACACTACAAAAGATCCCATGTTTCCTTTGTTCTCCAAACCCATCAACAAGTTAGTGAATTTCCCCCATGGCATTCAGATTCATCGATGAGTGACGGTTGCAGGACGATGGGTTTTGTCTTTTTAATGCTTTGCACTCTTGTACAAGATCTTTAAACACTTGTACGATAAAAATAACTCTAAAAACTGTTGTACAAATGGCCAAAATGCCCCTCAGGTGAGGGCACTTGATAGAAGGGCATTAACGTCATTTAGGACAAGGGACGATTGATGCAAGCAAATTAAAACGCTGAGGGTCTGGTGTAATTTGGAAACTGGAGTGACAATCGGTAGAGTTTTGATAAACCATAAGAACGATTGGTGTAATGTTCTCTTTATTATACGATATGAAAGATATACTTGAATGAATTTCCATAAGAAATATCACATTCTCTCCAATTAGTTTATATTGGTAATCTAGTCTTAGTCATACTAAATCTACATATGTTTTTAGAGTATGATAAAAAAAAACATGCTTAATAGAGAGGGGCAAAAAGGACCAGCCACCGGTTAAGGACTCAAACCAGTTAAAAGATGAGCAGTTAATTAGGGACCGGTTAGGACCAGTAGGTCTCTATCAGTCACACAGTTTTTGGCCAGACAGTTACTATTGGACAGGTTACTCCAGTGCTGGGCAGTCAATCGCGGTGCTATTGCAATTACCGGTGATTGAGGAAATAGCGGTGGTCAAATAGTGGTCCTACCATTAGCGGCGCTATATACCGCTATTTACTGCTATTTGCCACTAGTGCAATTAGCTCTTTCATGACCTTTACAAACTCCATTATTATGTTGCTTGTGTGGGACTTGATTTGTTTTACCTTGCTTGATATGTACTTCTTTAATCTTTACTTCTTTATATGCATAATTTTTTTGTATTTCGTATATAAACCTAACTTTTTATGCCGCTATGCCAATGCAATAATCAAATCACGGTCCTGACCACAATTACTTAACTGCATAGCTCTAGTGGGATCTATCATATGGACAGCTCTATCTTATATCATATAATACAACTACTAACCAAGAAATCATGGTCTCCATATGTATACTATTTACATACTTCATAAGATAAGAGAAACTTGCCTGATTTGTATGATTTACTTCAAACACCTATATAACAATGGAGGGAATATATACTCCACTTCTGTTTAGCCCTGCTATGATGATGTAAAGACCTAAACTCGTCACAACATAAAATGGGTGAAAGCAATGATAAGTTCAGTTGGATTCCTTCATACCCAATTTAATATTCTGGACCTTAACAGTCAGAAGTAGTCTCTGCTGTTCAATATCCTTGAGAACAGAAAGCAAGTTTCCCCGGTAAACTTCACATTTTCGTTGTGTATGCTCAAGCTGCCGTGATAGTTTATGTATCATCTTATCTTGCTCATCCTACATAGAAAGTCAACCGTAATTGATAAGTAACATTGACGAAGCATTGAATAATGTTGACAGTGAGCATAAGATCGTAGCAACTCACTGTACACATACTAATTAGGTGTTTATATTCATTTTAGTTCGGAAACATGTATAGAAACATTATCTGGATAAACAGCAGCACAAACGTTTGAGCAGAAGGCCAGCTGGTGTAAATATATGTGTATTTTTGTGTGGGAAGGAATAAATACATGATATTTTCTTACTAAATAAGATAATTGTTGAAGATTGGCTGCTCTCTAACATGACAAAAATTATTTATAAAATCTTTACTAGATTTAAAATCAAAAACTTTTCAGATAGAAATGACATAGATGATAAGAATGCAGGAAAGACTGTACTTGGCTGGGCAGGAGTGTTTTTATAATGAATTTGCTCTCTCAATTTAAAGCAAAATCAAAGCCAACATTACTTGAACTTGGCCAAGGCCAACATGGGATGAGCAACTGAGATTAGACACAGCAGCTTTAGGCATTTCCAAGGACATGACTTCTAATAGGAGTACTTGGAGATGCAAGACTAGGATAGCAGACTAGGGGTGGGGATCTAGACCGGAGGAAAGAAGCTGGAGAGGTAGAGGTAAGGGATAGGGTTAGTGAGTCGGTAGTTAGATTACCATTAACCCTAAGTTAGACAAAGGGGTGTCTAGTTCACACACCTTAGTCATGTTTCTCCTGTACTTGCCTCTATCTATATTCTTGTTGCTTACTCCTATCTACTTTATCAAAATGTAGTATATTTGTCTTTCTCTATTTCTTTTTTTATTTGTATTGCTATTGCTTACGTAAAAAAATTAATGTTCACACTTTGTACTAGCCGAGGATTTTCATGGAAACAGCCGCTCTACTCTTTACGGTCGAGGCTAGGTCTGCGTACATCTTCCCTTTTCACTTGAGGTTCCGTGGATTAGCATTTTGCTCCCCAGACTGCATCCTGCCCAACTACGAACAGGATTTTCATATTTATATCAGAAGCTTGTGAAACCTAAACTACAAATTGTGGATAACTAGGACAACCTTCCTCACTTTAGTCATTAGATGAATGTAGTTGGGATACAATTTGCTTTTGCCAGTCAATCATGCTTGAACTTGCAACAATCAAACTTGAAAGTCAGTGATTTTATGCATTGAGGTGTCCCATTTAAAGGCATTGATGAACTTTACTGTAAAATTCTGATAGTTATTAAATGGCTTCCTTGTTCCACAAGGGCAAAGTCTTGTATAAATGTAAGATGCTTTCATTATTATTATGTATTTAAGTTTGAAGTCTCATACTTACATGAAGAAGATAAAAAACCACTGCTTCTAGTTTTACGTTTGCTAATCAAACTCAATATCAATCATCATGATATGATAATATTTTATAAATATAGCCTTTCGCCACTTATGAAATGATGGTACTAGTATTGCTCCATGCATACATATGATGCACACATCCACATGCATGCATATGTGTGTATGTGTGTGTATAAAATAAGGGTTCCCCTACAGCATTGCAAACATCATGTACTTGTAAAACAAAGTAACAAGGAAGACATATAAGCAACGATGTCCTGCTAAATCAAATTAGAATGAACTAAAGTATAAGTTTTTAAAAGTTGTCAAGGTTGTATAACCAATTACCTCAGATTGAAGTCCATCGGACGAATACTGATGATCTTCAGTAGCATTATGTGTGTCAGTATTGTTGGTAGCAGGGTCGCCTTTGCTAGTGCCACCAATCTTTGCATTATTTCTCCCACTCCCACCATTCTTTTTTGCAATAGCAACTTTATTTGCAGCCTCTTGTAGAGCATCAACTGCCACATTGTAAATTTCTACAGTCTCCACACCTCCATCTACAAACTTAAGTGCTTCATTGCGGAGATTGTTGTATCTAACTGTAAAAGATTCTGGAGTAGCATTCGACAAACTACTTGAATGGTCATCCAATGTGACACCACTCTTGGCATTTCTTGTCCACCGCTTTAAAACATAATGAGAAGGTAGAGTAAGAACATTTGTCACCCTAAGAACCGTCAATATATGTGTACATAGAAGACCAGAGAACTCAAACATCTGACAGCTGCAAGTTACTTTCGTCACTCTAGCGTTATATCTAACAAAGTAAGGTTTGTGGTTTGCTTCATACTTGGAAACCTGGAATGTGGATATTGCCTCCTCACTGTCAAGTCTCGTCGCCACAAACGCAAGTGTTTCCACTAACTCTTCTTGGAACTTGATAAACAGCTTTCTGGTATAAACCTCAGCTGCTTGCTTCTCCATTGGAGATGGGGTTTTAAGTAACGGAGCTGCATTAATGGTATCATAATCTGCCTTGACTTCTTTCTCATAGCGACTCTCAAGAGCCTTCTCATACTGTTTAACAAATAATTGTAGAGTGGTAGATGCATTTACATAACCATCAAAATAAGAGTTCATACTATCGCTACGCTGTGTTATAGACATTTCAGCAAAGAATGTGTCCCTCAAATATACAGGCACCCATTGGTCGCGTTCAGCATAAACTGTTTGAATCCACTCGTGTCCATGAATATTGTACCTATCAACTAGGGACGACCAACAAGACTCAAACTCTTCAACAGAATCACTCATATTCACACACTTATGGAGCTCACCTTCAAAACTCGGATGCTCAGCAAGGACACGGCAGAGTTTCTCCTGGCATTCTTTAAATATGTGCCATTTGCAGAACCGGTGACGTGAAAATGGAAAGACTTGTTTAATAGCCAGTCGAATTATCCTGTCATGATCAGTGGTGATTGAAACCGGAGGACGATCAGACATTGCAGCAAGCCATGTTTTAAAAAGCCAAGAGAATGATGACTCAGACTCATTCACCAATAGGGCACAACCAAATAACACAGGCTGCCCATGATTATTTACCCCTGTAAAGGGTGCAAAGGGCAGCCTATACCGATTAGACCTGTAAGTGGTATCAAAAGTAACGGTGTCACCAAAATAAGTGTAATCAGCTCTTGCCTTAGGGTCAGCCCAGAAAATATTGTTCATGAAATGATCATCATCTCCTTGCACTGCATAAAAGAATGATGGATCCTCCAAATGCTTCTTTTTGAGATAGTCCAAGAGAAGTTGTGTGTCACCTCCAAGAGTCCTCTGCTTGCTACTTCTCATGTAATTCCGACAATCACGCTCCGTAAATCCAACATTTGTAATCCCACCATATTCCTTAATCAAAGCTGACATAATCCCACTAGGCCCTATGCCTGCCCGCTGTAACGTATCAATTAAAGATTTTGCGGAACCAGAAACATGACGATGAGATCTAAGGCAGTGTACTTTATCAGGAGGCACAAGCTCATGATTATGATCCTTTACAAAACCTGAAACAACCCACTTCCCAGAGCCTTGAATCTTAACCACCATCATAGCTTTACACCCCACTCTAGTCTCAACCCTTGGACGCTTAACCCTACCACCACCATTTTCACAACTGGACTTTTCCTTATCAGCACGGAATCCTTCCTTAGCACAAACAAACGATCTCTGTGTGATGGCTCCATCACGCCTCGACCTCCTGGACATGCTTACACGAGTACTAAACCCTATCCTACGAGCATACGAGTTGTAAAAGGCCTTAGCAGCTTCCTCAGATTCAAACTCCATCCCCTCATACGGTTCAAGACCTGTATCCCCCCCAGAAACAAAAATCTCTCCACCACCATAACCACTATCCATGGTTCTACCTCCATACTCGTACTGAGTGTCAACAAACATCTTATTTTCATCATCTTCGACATTAACAGCTCCATCCCCTAACCGCATCGTATCAAATTCAATCACATCACTTCCAATTCCCAGTGGCTCAAATTCCATCCTTTTAGAACCCTAATTAAACCTATCTTATTATTAGCAATACGGAAGTGGTCGACAAATTGATATCAAATTGCTACATCTGCTTACAATACCAACACCAATAATCATGTATGCATATGCATATAACAAATCAACACTAAACATACTGACCATTAAAAAATTGCAAACCGTACTGACCGATTTTCAGCTACAAAAAAGCTTCAAAATACGTGATTCCCACTGCAATTCACAAGACTTTCCAAGAATTCTGAGAAGATCCGTTGAATTTTTGTATGGAAATTGAGGGTTTCCAGAAGGGGTTTAGGGCAGGAAACAGGGGAAAGTGATGACAACCGTCCGATTCATAATGTGATAATATCATCCAACAAACTGGAACCGTTAGATTCAGTTGGTTTTGTTCTTGTTTTAAACCCTCGTGGCGTTGACAAGTGTTTTGCTCGCTTTTCTTTTCTTTTCCTTTTAAAATGATTCCAATCTGGCTGCGTTTGTTACATGGGATATAACCATAAAAAACGATACAAAATCCATTGTACAACGTTTAAGTTTAAGGATTTATGTAGAATCTAAAACAGACTTAAGCCTATGTCGTTAAAAATGCACTTGCAGTTGGGTCCCAAACACATATACTTCTCTTTGAATTCCAGATCATTCATTGCGATCTAAATTGATTGTACTGAACGTGAAGCAATCAGCTTCCAAAGCATTGGTGTACTTAATGACTCTCAAGATTTTAGCCTGGTTATGATTAGACGATATATGTCTGCATAATCTAATACAGTTCCAACGGTTGAATAAAACACTCCTTACTGATGTTGCTCATGTACAATGCAATAGTCTTTATTGTATTGATTCTGATTTCTTCTCTGCATCAACAGTGCATAGAGCAGCTTATAAATTAATTATTCTTATTTATAAAATAGGAGACTTTAATCAAGATTCTCTAATGTGTTATTAAAAAGAGTTGCACATCAAGTAGAATAAGATTGGTACAAAACACTTGTGTGTTTCAAGTTACAACCATGGACGGACCTATGTATGTGGTATAGGTGGCACGTGCCACCATATTATTTCTCCACTGAATAGTAAAAAAAATTAGGTTTCGTGAACGGTGCAACCGTATTAATTTGTCGTGTGCCACCGTATGTATTTTGAAACTATAATGAGAACAAGTTTTATTTGGTAGAGTTGGTTTGCAAGGCTTTTATTTCACCTCACACCCAAGTCCGAATCATGTTAGTGTCATTTTCTTAGTCAAACGGTGTCATCGTTTGAAAAAAATTCCATATATATGTTTCTTATAATCAAACAATGTCACCGTTTCAAAAAAAAATTCCTATATTTTTTTTTCTTATGGTCAAATGGTGCTACCGTTTAAAAAAAATTCTGGGTCCGTCCCTGGTTACAACTTGTAGGGTCTAACTAATCAATGAATAACGCATGCAATGTATTCAATGAGATAACTAATACATTCTTTTGGTTATTTGTGTAAGAAATAACTGTATAATATTGGGTATATGTACTCATTTTCAAATCAGTAGTGAAACACGAACACAGATGCATGTTCTCGCCACATGTCTACACATTTAATACATAGTTATTACAATATTCAACGGTCGTTAAGTTTATGGAACATATTTCAACCCAGCCACACAATGCACTACAGTCATCTCTTCATTGACTAAGTAGTGGACATCTGCAAAAAGCTGGTTTGAAAACTCACGAGAATTAATTTCAAAATTTGGGCTTCAATGCCCGGTTTTACATAAGTAACATTAAGGTTCCATTTTCTGGGAAAACTTAAGCTTATAGTTGTATGATATTTTTAAATGTTCTAAAGATCTCTAAGCGGCGAGTGCTGTGCGGTTGAGAGGACCATATATACTCTTAAGCAACAACCAAACTAAGACGACAACAATATTGGATCTACAAGATTCAATATTGAATCTAGAAAAGAAAAAGAAAAGCAAAATGAACGACAATTTTCAAGAGTCATATTATGATTGTAAACAATCACCAAAAATAATAGTTGAAACTAGCAAATAATTTGAATTATTCCATATAAAGATGGTGATTTATCCCGACCTGGTGGGGAACTTGGCTCACCCGACCCTAACGGGGACGGGGATTCCCCGCTAAAACGGTCTTGGGGTTAGGGATCCCCGGTAGACTTATACCGAGGTTGGGACCGGGCCAGGTATTGTACCCCCCGAACATCTCGTACCCGATATACTAATATTCATTTAATAAGTATTTGGGCTTTGGAAATTTCGATAGTGTGCTTCCGTTGCTGTTGGACTTCAAATAGTAAGAAGTTGAAGGAAAATGGTCCAAATGGAGCCATCGATCAAGGTCAAATATCACTCGTCGGCCCTCGGTCCTCCCCTTACTCATTGCCACTGCCTACTCGCCAGTCGCTAGTCTCCTCCAACCCTCTGCCAGTATGCCTTTTTGACCTGTCGACAACTCGAGTCCTCGACGTCCTCCAACGGTCCAGCCCTCTACCCTTCAGCCGACACCTCCTGTAGTCCTGTTTGATCAGACCGGGATGTTAATCCCCGTACCCGTTGGGGACCAGGGCTGGGGTCGGGGATTACAAAACCGCCCCATTGCCATGCCTAATTCCATATAGGATTTGACTTAGAAAAAATAACACGTTGAACATGTTTGTGGTTCCGAGTTTAACCTAGCTAGTATTCTGAATCATTTCATATATGGTTTGATTTTACCAATCCCGCTTAAAAACATACTTGACGAACTCACGCATAAAGAATAAATAATAAACTTTCAAATATTATCATAGTTTTTTTAAAACAAAAACACAAAGTATTGATTGTTGAATATGATTAATCTATTTAAACTTTACTTTATTTGAGATAAACATGTGTTAGCATGAAGACGAGCCAAAATAAAAGTAGTTTTAAGATGATCGAAAAATAAGAAGAAAAAGAAAAGAAAGTGATAAAACTAAAGTATGACAAAAAATAACCGAAGACATCAATAACCGAGTAGTAAGGACGTGTTTGTACATTTTCGTGCTACCACAAAAACATACAAATAATAAAACTAAAGTAAGACAAAAATAACAAAATACATCAATCACGGAATAGCTTTGTCCAACTACAAAAACCCCAACTCAAAGCCATAAGCTCAAAAGCTGTATTAATTAGGGCTTTTATTGTAAGATTTCAAGAGTTTGTTAAATTAATGGGATTGTTTTCTTAGGGCCGTTTACCCAAATGCTTACTCGGTAAGTGCTTACTTATAGGAGTCAATATTGTAATTTATTTTGATGAGTAAGATTTTAGTACATCAAAACATATTGAATGCAACAATTTACCGGGTAAGCGTTTACCTGGGTAAGAGTCGTAATCTTCACTTACCGGGTAAGACTCTTCATCCTTCTCATCACTCTTACCCGGTAAGATTCTTGGTCCTTGTCATGTTCATCCGATAAAAAAATTTATTTGGTAAGTACTTATCAAGTAAGCGTTTAGTAAACGGCCCCTTAGTCAGTTTTTGTTGGTCTTTTCTGGTCATGTCAAAGGAATGAGAGATGGAATAGGTCAAAATTCGAATTTGGTTAATTTGGTTGTTTGTTTTGGTTGACGGAACAAATCGATGTGCATACTTGTTTTAAGTACAGATAATGAAAAAGATGAATTGTTTTAGTCATATCAAACTTGTTTTCTTTACTTGCCTTGTCTATGTTTGAATGGTATTTTTCATGTATTCTTGAATAATAATACTGTGTTTGTTGTTGAATGCCTTCATGATGCTTGCCCAAGCCCCAACTCAAGACTCTTTTTGCACTTAAATTAATTAAGGACGGTACTCACATTGCTTAAGAGGTGTGTTCATATATATGTTTTAAGGCATAGACGCAAGTAATTGGAGTTCTTACATGTTGCATTTGAATTCACGACCCTGATTGATTTCTGATGGGTTTTTTTGTATGTCATAATATCGGGTTTTTCTATTAGGACAATCGGGTTCTTTGGTGAATC